GGGGGGATGGTCACGCCGCAATCCCTTCTCCTCCATTCTCCTCTTGGGATCTTGGGCACGCACGCACACGCGCCCGGCGTGTTTTAAGCCACCGGTCCGGGACACAAACCACGGTCGACTACGTGGGAGTCCAGCGACATAGCCATTACGCTAACTGCTGGTTCCCCAGTCGGAGTGTTTTAAACCAGCACCTGCTCACAGGTGATCGCAGTGCAGGGTTGTGTGTGCTTGAGTTGGTGGTGTGGCCCATGAAGAGACACCCAGGGCTCCGGTGGACACTCAGGCCCTAAAGTCCCTCCGTGGCCAGGTGAGAATGCACCTCTGTCGTGTCTGCAGGTACCAAGAGCAGCTCCGGAGCCTTCACAGGGGCCAGCCACTCCCTCCTGCCAAGACGCCGCCGCCGCGGCCTCCTCTGCCCACCCAGCAGTTTGGCGTCAGCCTGCAATAGTAAGTGAGCCGTGCGCAGCTGCCTCTCCCTCCATGCTGGCTGCGTCTGTGTCCGGACATTTCCCCAGGCCTCTGCCTGTAGCCAGCCGAACCCTGCAGGGGGGCAGAGCACGAGCTCATCCCCGGCTGAGCATAGGGAACCTGGCCTTCCAGCCAGCCTGGGGTTCTGGCTCCGCCCTCCAGCTCCGTGCTGAGACACTTCCCAGCACTGTCCAGGTGAGGAAGGTCACATGACTTACTGTGGCCAACGACATAGGAGCAGATATGAGCTGTGTCCCCTCTTGGGGTGGTGTGGGAGCCTGGGTCACTGCTTCTGCATCACCGCAGTGTGCTGACAGCCATCTGGGCAACAGGCTGTGTGTGGCCACAGGCCTGTTACCACGGCGGCCCTGTCCTTCCTGACTGGCACCCTCCTTAGCCCCGTGACCGCGAGCTCCCTCCTCTTGGCGTGTTTCCGATATCTCAGTGGACGAGGTGGGCTGCGTGATCTTCAACCTTCAGCGACTCCCGGAAAATCATCCTGTGCCTCCCTCCCTCCTCCCGTTCCCGACCAGGCAGCTTCACCCATTTCTCGTGACTTGTCTCCACAGCGCCTCCTCCAGGAAGCCTTTGCTTAAGCGCCATCGTAAAAATGTGTGCAGGTGTGACCTCAAGCCCCCCGTGCTGCCCAGGAAGGCAGGGCCGGCCCCTGCAAGGAGCGTGGGCCCCTGGGGCACACCCTTGAGAACTTGTCCCTCGGGGACGGGCCTAAGAGGCTCAGCCAGCAGGCCCAGGGTCTTCGAGTCACCAAGTGACCATCTGCCCTGGCTTCTGAGGCCGCTGAGCCCCAGCCCGTGTCTGGTGCTGCGGGGTCGGTGCTGCCCACGGTGCTCAGTGCTCGAGCCAGGCCAGCCTCCGGGAGGGCATTTCCACAGTCAGGTCCTTGGTCTGGAGACTCATGTCTTCCCTCCCTGCCTCCCTTCTCAACCTACAAGTTTGTTTATTTCTTCTGTGAGTGAGACAGACAGACAGGGACTCCCTGCAGGTCTTCCCCCTGCGGTCACCCCAGCCGGCCACGGATCCTGGGTACGTGTGCACCCACATTTCCGAGACGTGTCTGGGTGCAAACCTGGAGCTTTCCCATGTGGGCCAGCCTGGCAGATGGCCCCTCTCACCTTCCTGCTTCCCTGCCTCACATTGAGACCCACCTGTCTTCTTAGCATCTGACAAAACAAAACGAAAACCGAAAGACCCAAACTAAGTGTAACGCCGCTGCCGAGCCTTCCCTCCACCGAAGTACGGGGCAGCCGCTGGCCTCGCGCCTCTCAGCTCCGCAAAGGCGCCGGGGCACCTCTGGGCTGTGTCCTGAGCAGGTGCCTTTAGGAAGGTGACGCAGAGCTGTGGGATCTCCGCTGTCACTGTCATCTCGCCATGGCCCAGCCCCCTTCTAGGAAAGGTTGTAACCACAGGCCAGAGCGCTGCCTCTGCAGGGAACAGGAGCGCCATGGGTGGCCCTGCCTGCGGAACACCAGTGGCAGTGGCACGCCGCTGCCTCTTTACGTGGACATTTTATGCAGTCTCCTTGCCAATGGCTGTAATAAAATGGCAATAAACTTACTAACTAAAGCTCCAGATATGTCATTTGCTTGGACTATGAATGAATGAAAGCCATTAAAATTCATAACCAAATCCCACTCACAAATGTTAATTTGCTGAGTCAAGTTCAAGAGCGAACGGCGGAAAGCTGCCCCCTTGGCGGACGCATGCTCAGTTACTCCGTTAAGGGGAAGTCAGCCATGCGAGGTCTGCGCTCCCCACCCCTAAAGGAGGAGGAGACGGGAGTCCTGTCTGAGCGGCTGCGGAAAGAGGGCGAGGCCTCCGTGGGACAGGGAGTGGAGGCCGATCTCACCCCAGCTCTGGCACATTAAGGTAGTTTGGGACCCAGTTTCTTTCCCTGCCCCTGCCCCTGCCCCCCTCACCCTCAAGGGCCAAGGGGCTCAACACCAGACTGCAGACAGTGCGAGCTGGTGCCTGCTGCCCAGTGCTTGCCTGCTACTATTCTTCCCTCAGGGCCTCCTCCTCCAGGAGGCCGTCTATGATGACACCACACAGACTGGGATGTAGGCTGTTCCTGTGGTACTTGTGCATCTCTCTCTCTCCCTCTCTCTCTCTCTCACACACACACACACACCCACACACCCTGAACTCTCAAGGCTTACTGTAGAATAGGATTCAGGACTGTCTTGTAGGTGGGTCCAAGACACTGTCCTGCCCTGGATGTGGAGTATTTTCTTAGTTTCATGTTTCATTGCTGGTGAATAAAATGCGACTGACTTTTGTATGTTGATCTTCTATCCTGCAACCTTGCTGAACTTGCTCGTTAGGCTGAACAGACTGATTTGTCGATGTTTTAGGATTTCCTATATCCAACATGATGTCATCTGCAATCAGAGATAGTTTTATTTTTTATCACCTACTTACACCTGCCCGTGACCTCCAGTACGAAGTTGGATAGGAAGGCCAGAGCAGACACCCTTGTTTGTTTCTGATCTCAAGAATTAGCAGTCATGGGCCAGCAGGCGGTGTGCTGGTCAAGGCACTAGACTCCCACGAGGGCACCCACGATCGAGTCCCTGACCTGGCAGCTTGAAAATCACACCAGGCACGTGCGCATGCATGCCCGAAGTCCCAGGAGGAGAATAGAGGAGAAGGGACTGCGACATGGTCATCCCCCCAGGGGGTGGGGGGGGCGAAGGATGACTTTCCCTCTGTCTGGTGAGTGTACGCACTCTATAACAAAACTAAAAAAGAAAGAAAGAAAAGAATCAGCTGTAAGTCTTTTTTTTTTCTTTAAGATTTTAGCCAATGGGTACATGCACTCAACAGACAGAGCTGGGGAGGGTGGAAAGATCACCCCCTCCCCCGGGGTATGGCCATGCCACCATCCCTTCTCCAATCTCTTCTCAGGACTGTGGGCATGTGTGCACACATGCCTGGCATGATTTTCAAGCCACTTGGTTCAGGACTCAAGCCATGCCGTCAGCCACGTGGGATCCAGCACCTTAACCACCACAACACCTGCTGGCCCAGCAGTCAGTCTTTCACTGTAGAGAATGGTGTTAGCTGTGGGTTTTCCATATATGACCTTCATCAGATTAAGAAGCATCTAATTTGTTGAGTGGTTTGGTTGGTTAGCTTTTTTTCCATGAAAGGCATTATAATTTGTCAAATGCCTTTTCTGTCTCCGTTGACATGATCACATGACTTGTGTCCTTTATGATAAATACAATGTATTATTAATTATATTGATTGATCTTCATATAAACCTTGTATTCCTGGTCTGTGATCTTTTCTATATGTTCCTAGATTTGTTTTGCTAGACTTTTGTTCAGAATTATGTGTCTATATCCATAAGAAATACTTGTGTAATTTTCTTGTCTAGTTTTGGTCATGCCAGCCTCGTGGAATAAAAGGGAGAATGCTCCTTCCTCTTCTATCTTTTGGAAGAGTTTGTAAGGATTAGTGCTGATCCTTTAAGCATTTGGTAGAGTTTACCAATGATGCCGTTTGATCTTGGGTTTTGCTTTGTGGGAGGTTTGTCATTTTGTTTGGTTGCTTGTTTTTTGTTTGTTTTGGATTCACTAGAGTGTGCGTGTGTGTGTGTGCTCTCACTGGAGAGAGAGAAAGAGAGGGAGAGAAAGTGAGAAAGCACCCACATGGGGGATGGTCACACTGCAATCTCTTCTGCATTTCTCCCTCCTTTCAGGGTTTTGGGTATGCACACACACCAAGTGTGTTTTTCAGTCCACCAAGTCTGGGACTCAAACCGTGCAGTTGACCATGTGGGATCCAACCAGCTTAACCACCATGCCACTGGCCAGTCCTCTTTTGTAAATATAAGCCTTTATGCTATGAATATCTCTCTAAATCCTGCACTAGTTGCATCCCATAAGAGCTAGTGTGTAATTTAAAAATATTGTCTGATTTCCTTCATGACTTTTTTCCTTTTTTGTTTTTTTCCATGGACTTTTCCAGAAGGTACATACACTCACCAGAGAAAGGCAGATAGAGAGGAGAAACATTCCCCATGGGGAATGATCATGCCACCATCTCCTCTACTCCATTTCTCCCTCCTTTCTGGATTTTGGGCACCTGTGCACATACACCTGGTATGGTTTTCAACCTGCTGGGTGTTGGTCATGAACCACACAGCTGTGTGGGATCCAGCCTCCTTAACCACTAGGATACTGGGCTGGCCCCTTTGGGATTTTTTTTCTTTAATATACTATTTTTTAGTATATTAAAGACAGTGACAGTGTGTGGTTGGTTGGAGTCTTCTTTGAGTCTCTGTTAGTTCTTGCCAGTTTTTAGTACATCTTCTGTTTCTTTGTTGATCTTGTGCCCTGTCATTCTATTCATTATTGAGTGTGAGGGATTGAAGCCTCCAGTTATTGTTTTAAAATATTTATGTCACTCTTCAATTCTGTTCATTTTTGCTTCATATATTTTTAGGCTTTATTGATAGGCACATAAATATTTATTATTCTTATGTTTTCCTGATGGCTTGACCCCATTAACCCTCATAAAATGTCCTTTGTCATTAGTAACAAGTTTTTCTGCTAAAGTCTCTTGTCCGATATTAGTGTAACAACTCCAGCTTTTTTATGAGCTATCTTTTTTTTATCCTTTTATGTATAAACTATTTGTGTCTTTTAATCTAAAGTGTGTCTCTTCTAGAAAACATAATTAGATTATGTTTTTTCCCCATTCCACCTTTTTGATTGGAGTGTTTAACCCATTTACATTTAATGTGATTACTGACTAGGTAGAATTTATATATGCCATTTTACTTTTCCCCCATATGTCTTTTTTTTTTTTTTTTTTTAAGGTTTTTGACACAGGGCACATGCATGTCATCAGAGAAAGATGGAGAGAGGGAAAGTGAGAAATTACCCCCTGGGGGAATGGCCATGTCGCAATTCCTTCTCCATTCTCCTCCTGGGATTTTGGGTACACACAAA